TAGTGATGCTAGATAATGTAACAACATTTTCATTTCTTGCTAGTAAAAAGAATTCTGGTGTGTGTACTATGATTATGGGTTTTTAGCACATGTCTATGTGGATAGTAGAAGACAACTTTTTGGTCTACTTTTTGTCGTCTTTGTATGCCAATGAAATGTCAAGTTGCCAGCTTTGCATACCTCAGACATTTCCACAAAGCTGACAAACTGATTCTGAAATGAGATTGGTTGAAATATCATATCCATAAAATCTTGTCTTCTTTTCAAATTGGAAATGTCATCATATAAGGGTGGAGAAAACATGATGATCTGAATAATAAATTATATTGTCAAAGATATATAGTGTTGTTTTGTGAATGTGTTTCTCTAGTCTTACTAGTAAAGAGTTGTTCACTACATATCTTAGAACGACACACAAATGCCAGAGAATTGTCTCGGTGGGTGAAGTTGGTTGCTGCTAACCCTGAAAACCCAAGTTCACTCTGGGAGATTCATATTACTTCTACATTTTTTTCTCATTTTACAATTGGGATTTGGAATATTCACACCAACACACTGAAGGTAAATAAATTTTAAATCCATGTAAGTGCCATTGACATTACTTGAACGAAATGACTTCCCGGGTCATTTTATAACTTATATAGGGGAAGTAGTGATAGAATGCAGTACGTTGTCCTCTCACTGCTTAAAGATCAATTGACAAAATGTATACACACAGAAACAGATCCACCATTATCAAACTGATGAAACTAACATAAAAAATCACCCAATTGTTGAAAACAGAGAAATTTAATTGCCAGATTTCTATACATTAGTATAGACATTCAAAAGGTGTTACTGTTTATCAAAACTGATGGTTCCTTTTAAAATCTTATTTTGTTCTTTCTCTGTTTCAAAGAGAGGCCATTTTACAAATAAACCTCAGTTGGGATTAGAGGTGCACGCCTATCATCATAGCACCTAGGAGACAGTAGCAGGCTGATATGTCTGAATTTGTGGCCTGCTTGGTCAAAAGAGTGAGTTCCAGTAGAGCTATGGCTAGATAGAGAGATTCTGTCCCCCAAAGTTTCAAAAATTTTGAGTATATCTCAAAATATGGAAATGTTTCTGATATATTCTTACAAGGCTCTGAGTGGTTTCAACCAATCCTTTTGTCATCTTTACTCGCATTAAGAGAACTGTGTTAACAATGAAAAAAATAGGAAGAAATTTGAAAAGTCCATTCACAGAGGGATAGAAATCCATTTGAGTCCTTCTACAACCACGTACAGGGACTTTTTTTCACCTGGAAGTGCTAGGAGACAAAAGCAGAAATGGAAAATCTCCATCCTCTGCACTCTAATGACATATTTGTGAGGTGGAAAGTTCATAGTTCTGCTTTCCTTGTGTACCCAAGTATGGTTCATATCACTGACATTGGAGGGCTCAGAATTACCTGTCTTCCCATGTCCAAGGCACCTAATGTTTTCTTTTGTCCCCCTGGGGACCAGGTATGCAAGTGGTGAAAAGACACACACATACTTGATTCTATATTGTAAAAAAAAAAAAGCCAAAAAACCCCCAAATTTTTTAATATTAAAGGAAACTGATTTAATTTCTATGCATTAGTTATTTCACAATGTATAGCAAGTGCATACTATGTATCAATGGAGGACAGAATAGAGGATCCGATGCATGTGATTAGACCTCAGGCAGTTGTGAGCTGTCTATTAGGTGATGGAGTTCAAAGCTAGGCTCTGTGGCAGAGCAGACAGTGCTCTTAAGGACTGAACCATCAATTCAGCCCCATGAGCATGTCATTCATAGCAGTAAGGTATGAGTGGTTGATCGTAAGTTCATCTTGAACACAACCTTGATGATACAGAAGAAAACCAAAAGAGCATCAGAACCTCATTTAGTTTGGGAGTTAAAGAAGTCTCTCTGTCCTGATCTCCCCAAAATGAGGGAAGTGTTTAAAAAATGAGAAATTGAGAATAAAAGTGTTTAAGAAGTGGCTGACCACTTCACCAAAGCCACAAGACTGAGGACACATTTAAAGTTTACTCCTGCTGGAGCTTATGCTTATTGTAAAAACAGAACAAAAACAAAAAAACTGGCAGCAGTAAAGACTGACTTGTCTAACTGGGATTATATTCTGCTTCACAGATGGCTGAAAACATTCAGTAAGCATTCCTGAGTGCTGGTTACTCCAGAGGACATGGGGGATGTTGTCAGGGGATTCTGAGACTCAAAGTACTCTAGGGCTGGGGAAATCAGGCATTTACAAAAAGCTTCGAAATAGGAATGAAGTTAGGGAGGGATGCTAACCATACAGGATTAAAATGCCAAAGAACAATGCTTTCGATATGCCTGAAGACAAGATGGCTTCTGCTATATCCTCTATCTACTTGGCTGTGGTGGGTCAGCCCCCTCCAAGTGTTCTACTCTTTCCTTTTCTTGGCAACTATATGTAGCTGTCAGCGACAGTACCATACAGGCCCATACTTGCTGGTCTCCAATAGGATCTTAAAGTCCTTGGTTCCCACTCTGTCATCTCTGTAACCTGCCTGCTTGGTAGCAATAAGGATATTCTGAAGAAACATTTGTATCTTTCTCTTAGGTGAAAATTAGTAAAGCAGCAGACTCCATTAACTTCTAATTTCCCCTTGAATCTCATTCTGGGAAAGACTGTTTCTTCCAGATGAGAAATTCTCTGCTGAATAACTCATTATCTGAATACCTGGTGGGAGAGAAAGGAGCTATGAATGGGTGAGGATTTGATGAATGGAAAAATTCATTACATGTCTTGATTAGATTACATAATAGTGCATATCTCCTGGCTTCTATCTAAACCTGTTAGGACTTCAAAGATGTAGTGGTTACCTTTTATCTTCATCACTGCACAACATTTTTACTCCAAATACATATATTCATATGTTTAAAATTTTCTGTGATAATTTGATTTTATCCATTGTTTATTCTCTTTTTGTTATAAAGAATAGTGCCAGCATGAATCTCTGGCTGGCCTTGAACTTGGTATATAAACTAGATAGGCCTACTTTCCCTCCAGAGTGTCTGTCATATAGGTAGGCAGGACACACCTCAATAATTTATGTCTTTTGATGGGCTTATTGATGATGAGTGGTTAAGCCTGGCTGGTTAGGGGTAGCCAGGATATAGGCTCTGGTCCTAACTCCAGTAACAAAGGAAGGCTGCCATCCAATGGTGCCTTCCTGCCTTATAATCTGCTCTCTCCCATCTATGAGCAATGTTGTTTTTCTTTAACATGGAGTCTACTAGTAACACATCAAAGTACTATGGCAGAGTACTATCCTCATTCTACTGATAGTGAAACCTGGCTCACAGAGATAAGTAGTTTTATAATCTAGTTAAGTGTGACTGCTTATCTTCCTCATCCCATCATTCTAATAAGTCACTAAATGAAGTTGAAAGCACATCAACAAGACATGTTGCTTTGAAAGAGGAGGCAGAAATTTCAAAATTTCCAAGTCACCCAAAGAAAGAATGATCAGTGGTGTGCTGCTAGGCCTTGCGATTGGCTCAGGCCAATGTCCATAATAGTCATTGCAGTTCTAGCTTTTAAAAGCCATGACATCAGCAAGTGTTTACTAAGGTATTTACCAACATGTATTTTCAAATGTTTTCCATCCAAAGCAGCTCAGGTCACTTAGGCTCATATTCCTATTAGTCATTAAACAATGCCAACTCTCCTGCAAGGGGGAGATTAGTCTCAGTCTGGGATGAGCTCCCAAATGACATATCCAATGAAAAGTGTTCTGTCCTGAAACCATATACACACAAGAGAAATGGACTAGACGTGCACTCTAGCATGTCTCACTACTAAAATTGTTCAAAGTATATTCTGGGTCCTTAACCTAGAAGAGACTTAAGGATTACAGCATATGTGGAATGTTATAGGCTGCTCCTTTTTGAGTGGTACCCAGGGATGAATCCATGCTATCATTTAAGATATTTTTTTATTTTTAATCTCTTAAGTGTGCAGAGTAGTTTCACCATATACAGGATATTAATTCTAGAACAGATGCATAGCAAGCCTTTTATAAAAACATTACAGAGTCAGGCTCTTCTATGTCAAATCAGGTGACCTTGATCCCATTCTGTTGCTTTCCATGAAAATGACCTTGTCATCTTTTAGATTACGCTAAATATCATCTTTAATTATAGGGCTGTACCACCACTCAGTTTTGATATTACCCATTTGAGTCATAGAGTCAACTCTTTTTTGCAGTAGCAGGAAGATTTGCATGTGGAGCTCAGATTTTGCTTTGAGATCACAATAAGACTAGCTCATTTTATATATCAGAGGGAGAAATAGGGTACTCAAAGGGCTGCTGATGTCACCATTTTGAAAATGAACTGATTGTAGCAGGGTGAGTGATTTTGTAATTTCCCAACAGGTAATTAATGTCAGATGAATGAAGACAGACCAGATTGGTTAGTGTACAGTTTTGGGAAGGATAGCATTGTGGGGATCAGGAACCAGGTGAAGGAGGTGTGTGAGTGGTGCAGAACCCACACAGCATCCTGGCAAATAAGACTCAGGAGACTGGACTAAGGTGTATGTCTAACTTTATTGTCCATTGTAAAAGTCTTTAAATGATTGAAAGGCCAATCAGACCATCCCATGGTAGTCTCAGGCACCAACAACAAAGCATGGTGCAACTATAAGGAAATGCATGTAGGACAAAGTCACCTTAGGAGACTTCTGTGAATAAGGGAGAAGCAATCTTTGCCCAAGCCTCAGATCCATTTTGAGACTTTAATACTGTGCTAGGAGTCCCTATTATGTCACCACTGTGTGCAGTCGACCAGGATCTTTGGGGGACCCATAGGAGTCACTGATGTCACTCACCATTCTCTATGGACCTCCAAAAGGCTTAGCTTGACAGTCCTCACAAAGCATGATCTAATGAATATTGAATATCCACCTGAGGAACTGTCCTTTGCAGATATACACA